TTTTTTTTTTTTTTTTTTTTTTTTTTTTTTCCTTTTGTTCCCTCTGCGTTTCCCCCTTTTGTTTACTTCTTTTTTTTTTGCGCATCTTGAAGCAATCGGCGTCAGAATATGTTCCTCTTCATGGGCAAAAAAAGGATACGTACAAATGTATCGTCGAGATAACCGCAATTGTTAAACATGTGCAGCGCTGTGTGATCAGGTCCCCTCCCCCCCGCACAGCGATACAGAAACGAACAACGAACCTGATAGAGGGGCGACCCCAAAGGGAACAAAGTAATATCTAACCAAGGGACACTCGTTCGCGGGGGTTAAAAAAAGGTCAGCCGTGCCTGCGCAGGAAATGTATTATGAAAGATACCTAAATAAAGAGAAGCAAACAAAACAGTGACAAGTGAAAGTTTTGAATCAAAGAGGCAACACCTACCTGGTGTGCCAAAGATTGAAACATGAAGGAACTCATAGGGAGCGTGCTCCAGCTGATCGACCCAGATGAAGAAACGGAGACCTACTTGAGGGAAAGGATAAATGACGAAAAGAACATAATTAATAAGAAGGGGGTAGATTACTTATACGACTTGGTCTCTACCTTCTCAGATAAAAAAATAAAGAAGAGCACCGTTGTAGATATTTTTAACAAATATATGAAAAGAGAAAATGGAGTAGGGACTGATGAGAGCAAAAATGCGGATGGTCAAAAACTCACCGAAATGGTGAACTTGAAGGAGTACTGGAAAAAAAATGATGTGGTAGGATATTATGATCCGTTTTTAGGGATACAGGAAAAACAAGTTAATTACAATACGAGCATACCTATCAGTGAAAGCATAAGAATAAGTAAAGAAAAAGAAAAACAAAGACAGAAACAACTGAACTTGTTTAAAGAATGGGTAAAAAATAAAATTAAAATTCCATCCCCTGTACGGGTGCACAATTTGTTACACTGTTCTGATTCAAGTAAAAACAAAACGAAAATTGAAAAAATGTATGACATTCGAATAGAAAATTTTACCCTAAGCATTGGACAAAGAAGTTTACTAACGGATACGACTCTAAAAATAAATGTCATGAATAAATATGGACTGATAGGAAAAAATGGAATTGGGAAAAGTACCCTCTTGGCAAAGCTAGCTAGATACGAAATTGAAGAAATTAAAAAAGATATATCCATAGCGTGTATTGAACAGGATTTATTTCTTGAAGATGTGACTGTTCTGGAGTGTGTTCTAATGGTCGACAAACTAAGACATGATCTGTTGACAGAATTGGAACGACTGGAATTAAAAAAGACCAAGTCGGCTCTCGGTGACGGGGGTCCAAACGGAGAAACTAAGCAAGGGGGTGCGAAGCAGAAACGCGAAGAGCAGAAGGTGGATGGAAAGGGCGAAGAGGACGAAAAAGACATCGACCTAAAGATACTAAACATTTATGAAAAACTGAACAGCATTAACTACTTAGAAGCGGAAAAGGAAGCCAGCAAAATTTTGTGCGGGCTAGGTTTTGACTCAAATTTACAAAAGAAAAAAGTCAACTCCCTTAGCGGAGGAATGAGAATGAGACTCTGTCTAAGCCGTATTCTCTTCAGCAACAATGATATAATATTGTTAGATGAACCGACGAACCATCTGGATATCTACACCATACAATTCTTAATAGATTATATAAAAAAATTAAATAAGACGTGCATTATTGTTTCCCATGATAGGGATTTTCTAAATGAAGTTTGCACCGATATTATTCATTTTCATCAGAAGCAGTTAACTTATTATTCTGGAAATTATGACCAGTTTGAAAAAACTAGAGTAGAACATCTACTGCAACAACAGAGAGAACATGATTCCATCGAAATGAAGAAAAAACACGTACAGAAATTTATAGACAGATTTAGATGCAACTCCAAAAGAGCAGCTTTGGTCCAAAGCAGAATAAAACTTTTAAACAAATTACCTGTAGTAAATTTAGAAAAGGAAGAAACTCCATTCAGCTTTTCCTTTTTGGAACCTTTTTACACATCCAACGTGCTCATACGGCTCAAAAATATTTCCTTTAAAAATGAAATGTTTAAAAATTTACAAATAAAAAAAAACACAAATATTATTATAGCAGACACTGTGGAAGACACCAACGGAAAAATTAATGGGAAGTCAAACAACGGTGCCAAAGGGGAAGATGAAACTACAACACGTAGTGATGATTATCAGTTTAAACATGAATTTTTATTTAAAAATGCTACCTTCGAAGTAGACATGGACTCTAGAATTGCCATATGTGGAGTTAATGGAAGTGGAAAAACGACATTAATTAAAATTATTTTAAACCTAATAGATACTTTCGAGGGGGACTTACATGTGAGCAATAAGGCCAATATCGGTTACTACTCCCAGTATCATGTAGACAGCTTAAATCCCATCTTTAACTCCATTCAGCAGCTGCAGTACAATTATTCCAACAAGAATATAAAAGAAGAAGAAGCTATAAAATACTTCAACAAATTTAACATTCCTACGAACGTTTTATACGAACCAATTTATGTCCTTTCTGGAGGACAGAAAAGCAAATTGGCACTAGCCATTTTGGCTTATAAAAATCCAAATATATTAATTCTTGATGAACCGTCCAATCACCTTGACATTGAATCCGTCCAAGCTTTAATTGTAGCCTTAAATCTTTACAAGGGAGGACTCATTATTATTAGTCACGACACATATTTGATAAAGCATGTAGCAGATGAAATATATCACATAAACAACCTGACCAAGGAATTGATTAAAATTGACTATGACTTTGATAAATATGCCAAGTTACTCCTCGACAATAAAATATAGTGCATTTGTTTTAAGTTTTTTTTATCGTGCCCATTTTCTGCAATACGCATGGTTGTACATGTTATAATGTGCAATGTGTTCATGGGCTTATGTGACCAAATTGGATCACCACTCTTCACATTTCTTTTTTTTTTATCAAAATAAACACTGTAATTAACAATTTAAACGAAATTATCGAATTAGTCTCAGGGTGGTGAGGCAAAAGTCATACGGAAAAAAAATAAAATAAAACACGAAGAAATTTTTATGCAGGTTGAAAATAAGACACAAGGCAAACAAGTCCACATTTAAATATGCGCATCCGTGCGAAAGTATTCATACGTAAATGTGTCACTACGGTGAAAAAAAAAAACTGATACAACTTTAAAATTTTACACGAATTTAGGGCGAAGCGGAGCAAAATTGGTAAACCACCGGAGCCTCACCAATTTGTCTCTTAATAAAAACATGAAAAAGTAAAAATAAAATGCAGTCAAAAAAAAAAAAAAAAAATGATTTATTAACTGATCGTGGTGATATTCAACGAGTTAACAAATGGGATCGATATATATCTGTCCATTGACATTTAGTGTGCACACAAAAAAAAAAAAAAAAACGGCACACAATCGAATGTTAAAAAAGCAGCAACAGTGAGTACCCTGTGAGAAGTTATCTAAAAGTGTAGATCCCCTACATGATACGATAAAACATAAAATAGGGAACCTCCCAAAGTATGAACTTTATATCACGTCATGCTTAGGTCTCAGTTTTATGCTGCTATTTTCACATCATTTTTGATGTTCCCTCGTTTGATGACCATTAATTAGTGTTCACTGCAATACTGTCTAATTTCATCATAATCTACGGAGCACTTGTCCCTAATTTCTTTATCGCTGGAAAATTTAAGGAGAAAGTACTCCCTTATTTTATTTACGTCATTGGCAAAATTGTCAAATATGCGGAAGTTGCTTTTGGACATTTCTTCGTCGCAGCTTTTAAAGTCCAGATAATTGCTGTCATTCAAGGGCGAGTTCACGTTACTCCTAAAATAATCGATAACATACTGAAAGAACCCTTTCCTTTTTATCTCAACGAAATTTGACACATTAATGAAATTCTCCTTTTTGTGTAATTTTCTCATCCTAAATGTGTCATTGCGCAAAGTTCTCTGTTTTTGTTGCTTTTTCTTAACCAACCGAGAATTCGCTGCCAGTTGCACACTTGACAATTTCGCAGGTGTCTTGCGGGAATAATTGCACATGTATGAGTTCACATTGTCAACTTGGTCGCTTTTGCTAGAAGACTCTTGAACTTCTTTATATTCCTTAAAAATTGCCTTTTTGGAGTTTTTTAAAATATCGTTCATTTTATTCAAAATTATTTTGGGGCAATTAATTAATTCATCGAATATTTTTATAATTTTGTATTTTTTGTCAAAGCACTCCATTCCAGAGGTTAGCTGATCCGTTATGGACGCATATTCTTGGTCGAACGTAAATATGGTGTTATTTATGATATAATACTCCTTCATGGATTCTAGCTTTTTCACCATATCAGACATTCCAATGTTCATCAGTTGGAATATCACATATTTTACAAAGGTGCATATATGTGCCTCCAGTTTTTCAACATCCTTGTCAAAACTCTCAATAACAAAAAGCAATCCACTTAATCCATTGCGCGTGAAGAATGGTTTTACTTCAACCATGTAACCATCATTATATCTTAGTTTAGAAACTTTAACAAAGTCGGATGATATTAAATCCACGATAATGTTAATTAAAACGTCGCTTAACATACTTTCTGATTCAATTGTGTAGGACACTATTATTGAGCTGCTCCCATTTTGAGACATATGGGGGATATTTATTTCGACATCTTCATTATGAACTAACTTGCTCGTGTAGTACGTGGACTCGCTTCGTCTTACAACTCCATTGGTCACTTTCTTTATGAATGACTCCGACAGGTTAACTAAGTATTCTATCCCTACCCCGTTGTGAGATATTTGAATGGAATCTGCTACAAACGCCTGTTCTCCGAGCTTTTTTTTCGCGTGTAGACTGTTATCTCTTTTGTCCCACTGTGAAGCACTGCCTTTATTATTCGCCTGGGCGTAAAGCATCAGACTCGATCTGTGTCCACCCCCATTGTCAGCATTCTGGTTAGTGTAGCTACTTGCATTTTCGTTATCCTTTTCCGTCGTCATTGCAATATTTCCATATATAAATATGCTAACATAATTTCTATGAAAAAAATCAACTACATATTTGGTGTAATCCTTATATGAGGGATAAAAAAAGTATGCGCTTAAAAGGTCATCCATTTCTTTGTCCGTTGGCTCATATTGGTTAAATAGGGAATGCATAATTTTTAACGAATTTGCTGCTCCCAATTTTCTGCTACTTCTGACGTACATATTTAACTCATCATAAGCATCGGCAAATTCTTCTTTGGAGGGAGTTTCTGTCACTGATAACAGGTCCCCTAGTTTGCTAAACAATTCTGCGAAATAATAGCTGTTAGTGTCCACGTGTACAGTGTACGATTCTGTGTTCTGCTTGATATGCACATTTACCGAACAGCTAGCATAATCAGTGAGGAAAAGTTTTATTTTTTTCCTCAAAATTATAATGTGTATACGGGAAAAGATAGCTTCATAAAAAGTAAACTTTTCAGAAGGGAAATAAAAAATGAAATCTGCTTTCACTTTTGAAGCATCTGTTAGACCTTTTTTAAAATAAACATTGTACCCGTAGGATGATTTAATCAAACAAGGCATGCTATACAAAACGCTAGCTCTGAACTCATTCTTATTTTGCTCAGACACAAACATTGGTTTAGTGTCTGAAAATTCAAAGTTTTCTCGATTGCTGTATGGGACACAGAAAAATGGTTCTTCATGTAAAACGTTGTTATGGTCAAAGTTGTTGAAAGGGCAAACTTGTATTTCTGGAAGTGCAATATTTACATCGTTTGTAACCCCCCCTTCACCAACCAAATATGGATTTTCCCCCAAAGCATACGTTATAGTAGTGTTCGGAATTTGACTCTGGTTTGTTAGGCTGAATGCATCTACAACGTTTATAATATTTAAATTATCATTTCTAATTAGAGATCCCACCAAACTTGTTATTTTAATGTGATTGCGAAAGTCATTTTTATGCTTGTCTTCAATTAAACTATGAATGGTTAAAAGGGACGATGGGTCATCACCGTAAACCAGTAGTCTGTTCGAATAAATTACTAAATCGTTAAGGCTTACATTAACATTATCACTGTTAAAATTCAAATCAGTGACCAATGCCTTCTCCCTGTAATAGTCAAGCAGGTATTTACTTATACCTTTATCTAAACTATCAGGATCAAATAATTTGCTTATTTCGTTAACGAACACGTTGCATATGTGTATCAAATGAGCGAGGTTACTTTTGCCCTTTTGTGTTAATTTTAGAAATATTCCGAAATTGAAGTAATATTTATTACATATACTCGTAACTTCCAAATCATAGACATATTTATTTTCCACAGATATTTTATAATAAAATCCGTTCCTTCTGAAATCAGAAAATATTTCACGTAAAAATGTCATTGATCCAAACTCTTCAATTTTTTTACACAACTCAGCATTAGTTCTGGAGCTCCAGTATAGGTAAAGTTGATCCCCCCAGTCTTCTGTTTTTTTGATTTCAATATACCTGCTATTCTGGTTTAAATCAAGCGAGTAATGAAGCTCATTCATAGATTGGACAAAGGCAGCTTCCTTTTCATTTCGCCTCTGCATGTAGATGAAATTTGCATCATTGTAACTGTCTTTTTTCCCATTAAAATGTACCCTTTCTGATTCCATACGATTAATTTGTTTCTCTATAATATCCCTATCAATGGGGTAGCTCTCATTTTTTATCTTTCCAAATATGTGGACAACCATATTTTCAACATCTTTCATGTTGTAGTGATCTGCAGTATTTACCTTGTTTCCTAGCAGTATTGTCAGTGACATATTTCTTGGCTGATAACATTTTTTATGGAATTCAGTCAAAATGTTTTTTATGCTTAGCCTATTCTTTAAAACGTTTTCGCACAAGGTGGTGTAGTTTCCATTGACGAAAAACTTCGAATACTTAAAATCTGTGATGTACTGACTAGCAATTTTCAGGCAAGATTCAAGATTATTTTCTATAGAAATGTATTTATTATTAATTTCTTTAACTTCATTTTGTATATGCTCTTCATTAAATACAGGGTAAAACAAATTTTGTGCAAATAAATTAAGCAAATGGTAAATGTCTTCAGAATGGGCAGTTGCATAGTAACTAGTAAAGGATTCACTAGTATTGCTGTTATATTTTGATGAATACTTTCCCAATTCGCTTAATAGGGTTGTGTTTCTTTTTTCAGATTTATAAAAAATAGCATGCTGCAATAAGTTAGAAATTCCTGGAACTTCATCGAAATCGTCATACCCTCCGCAGTCAACCGATATGGACAATCCCCCTCTTGAGGAATATTTATTTATTATTCCTAATACTTTAAAGTCATTACTTTTCAACTTGAAGTATTCATATTCGTTTCTGTCTTTGTTACCTTTTCTTAAAGTTATCTTTTCGGAAAAGACATTTTCATTGTTTTTGTTTATTTTGTTTAAAATTTCATTTTCGTCATATTCAGGAAAGCCATGATTTAAATTACCGTATGCGCTTTCATTGAATTGCACTGGTTTTATATTTTTCAGCATGTCTTGTTGGGAATTCGCAACGTGCGTACCGAAATGTTCTCCTGAATACCTGCTACTATGATCTTCAGAATGGGGTATACTCTCAGTGTTTGTATTTTTTATCTGTTCATTATTTAGTGAAACTTTCACACCATGCTGATCACTATTGGAATTTTCAGGATTAGTTATTTGTTTGCCATGTTCTCTTTTGGAGGCATTCTTTAATAAGTCTTTTTTTGCATTCTGATTCTCTTCCAAATTGGCACTTTTGAGTTCATTTTGTTTTCTAGCTAACCCTTCAGATTTTTTATCTAACCTGTTATTGGCCAAATTTGTGAGCTCATTCGATTCAATACCTTTATCAATGGTGTCTTTCGATATTTTACTGTTTTCATTGTTTGTTTGTCCGCTATCTAACCTTTTCGCGTCATTAGCTTCTTCATTACGATTTTTAATGTTTACATCTTTTTGCAGAGACTCGGATTTTTCTATATTCATGTCACCTGTTTTTTGTACGTAGTTATTTATATTTTTGGATTCCCTAATTTCTACACTTTGTTTTCCACTGCTATTTGTTAAATCATGATTATTAGTAAAGCTTGTGTTATCTCCCTTTTTGTTTACTTTGTCCTCAAAATTTGTACGTAACAGTTCATCATTCTTTAGTTCAACCTGTTCATTTTTAACGGACGAGTTCTTATTGCTTGTGTCATTCTTCTGTGAAGTCGCAACATCTGTTTTGTTGCTATTTGCACTTTCAGTTTCAATTACTTTTTGAGCCTTTTCACTCGGCGTGTTTTTCGATGTGTCTTCATTGGAAAAATTACGAAGGAATATGGATTCATGTTCTACATTTTTCCTTTTTTCCAAATTGTCTTTATTTTTGGCTATTGAGTCATAATTAAGCCCGAATAGTATTGCCCCTAATTCATCATCGTTTAATCCATAGTTCTTGTTGCCATTATTTAGAGCTTTTTGACAGCTTGAACATTCTTGATAGAACAGAAGTAACAACAACAAAATGTTAATAACTGAACATTTTGTAATTGCCATTATATGTTTCATTTGTATGTACACAAATTATTTGCAATTTTTTCTATGAAAAGAAAAAATTGCACACAAGGTTATATTTGCTCATTTAAGCACTACAAGGAAAAATAATGCGCGTATTTTTCAGAAAATAACATGAACAGTGCAATAAGTGAACATCTGTTTACGCTTAAATAATCTGGAATGTATATATTTCGCCCTTTATTGAAACTGCTTCAAGAAGGTTATATATACACATATAAACACAAAAATACAATAAGACAAAATGAAAAATGAATAAAAGTGCAAATAAAATGAAAATAATGATATCTACGCTTTATTTATATATTTTATTTTTTTTTTTTTTCAGTCTTAATTATTGAAAATAAAATTATGAATGTTCATACATTTTTTAAAACACGTAGACATTTTATACTTTTAAAAAATAAATAGCAATTTTCTCATTTTGGAAGCTAAATCAACATGTAATATAGAATACAGTTATATCGTATATAGCGTATAAAAAAGCCATATGTATATATATGGAAATGTGTATTTTACGAAATGAGCGAGAAAAATAAAAAACATCATATTAATATTTCACTTTTCTATACCCAAATGCACACACAAAAAATGGCTAGCTGTAATACTATTATACCTTTTTCAATAAATAATTTTTTTTTTTTTATGAATCGTTCATGTATATTTTAAAAATGTGTACAGAACAGTTTAAAGCTAGTTAACGTTTTTGGAATGTCACACATCCTTTTTATTTATGTAATCATAATGTCTATAGCTATACAGCTATAATGTATGTAAAAAAGAAAAAAAAAAAAAAAAATGACGTTTAAGTTTGGCGTGTCAGCTGAAGGAAGCGTTAAACAATAACCTTCACAAATGTGAAAATGTCAAAATCGAAAATATTGATTATTTTCTCATTGTTCTCACCAGTGTTCACATTTGTCGATATGGGTTTTGTTTCTTTTTTGCAGTTAACTGATACACATGTGAATATCGTTTTTTTTAGACTGCATTTTTTTTTATGACGTTATTTTAAAAATGAAAGCACTTCATGCTTAAGTATTTATAAGTTACCTTAGTGTAGTGGGATACATGGTTTCTTATGAACAAAAATAATACGGATGAAATTTTCATGAAGAAAATTAGTGAAAATTTATATGCTACATTAAAATTGCAAATTCCTAAATGATACCGTGTTCATATGTAGCATTTTGGGGGGTAATTAAGAAAATTTAAAGTAGAACAGACCATTTCCTGTATTCATTTTATAAAACTATATTTTTCCTATACAATTTAACAACTTTTTTTTAGTGTTTAACAGAGAAGTGTGTTTTTTCATTTTATGAAACTGAATGGAGATTTCTCTACGCTTCTTTGTATAAAGCTTCCTCATTTCAGTGTTCTATTCCATTAAGCAGACACATCAAAAAATACTTTGTTCCTAACCTTTATTTAAAAAAAAAAATCCACGTATATATGTAAAACAAAAGAATTTAACAGATCACGTCCTGCTACATGTTATATTTCTTTATTATTTGTTGAATCCATGGGTTCATTCTCTTATGTCATATGGCTAATGTTTATTTTTTCTCAGATGTTTTTAATTTTTTTCAGTCACAGCATGAGATAAAATAATGTTTATTTTTTCTCAGATGTTTTTAATTTTTTTCAGTCACAGCATGAGATAAAAAAAAACATACGTTTTATCATTTAAGAAGGAACTCCTAAGTTTTCTTGTGAAATTTCATTGAGGTATCATTTTCGCTGATTATTGCACATCTATGGGCAAAAAATATTTATTCAAAAATTTAGAAAAGTAGTGAAATTAATACAAGCATGAATCCGCTTGGTTATTTTTTTGTCTAATAAATAATTTATTGATACACAAAGGTACACTTATTTTCTGTGAAAATGGTTCTAAGATTGATAAGACATGTGTTTTTCACACCAAACACAATAAAAAGATTGTAATTACGTTTTTCATGATGCAACAAAGAGACATAGGTGCAATGGACTGGTTTAAAAAAATGGGGTTATACGGTCATGCTATGTATTTATAAAATCTTAAAGTGTCACGTCTGGGATATGCCAAATGCGTAAATATGTATATATACTAAGAAAGAACTTTCTCTTGTGTATCTTTTAACAATTTATGTAGTGTTTCATTTTCATATAAAGAATTTTTTTTTATGGATGTTATAAGGAAACACAAAAATACAAATAACTAGAAAATATATAAGCTAAATTTTACTCTATTAAAGCATCTTTTACTGTTAAAACAATTAGAGATATTCTATAAATACTTAGAAGAATGGTCTAACATATATGTGATAAGCTGTGGATTCTTTTATTTATAGGCTTAAAGTCATACACATATGGATAATATCCATTTTACTTTATAAAATATGATAAATAAAGTTCTACACATTTTCTGAATGTTATTGCATTTTCCTATTTTAAGTGGTAAGGATATTTTAAATTCCTCTGTTCAATAGGTAAAATAAAGTGGAAGTTACTTGCAAACTACAACACAAATATTGTTTGAAAGATAAACTCTGAACTAAAGTCCTGCAAAAAATACGTTCATGCTTTTTTACACAGGGATACACATTACATGCTTATGAGTGGATCACACAAGGAAAACATAATTGGACAACTACATAAAACTTGTGATGATAAAAAAAATTGATCTGAAATCTGATAAGTGTTGTCTAAGTAACCGTCATTTATTTACGACGAATAAGTGAATAACATGTCTTAGGTCATATATATATACATTTAAGTATACGCAAGAAACATATGATGCGCACCAAATAATTATAGAAAAAGGGCATTTAAAGTTATACATTGTAATAAAAGAAAGTCATCGTAATATTCCAGAAAGATAAAGCATATAAAAATACCGAGTAAGTGTTTTTCTACCGAGTGCGATGCACAATTCATGAACTCAATATATGTAGATTCCCTAATAACCATAACTTATGTTTCTATTTCTTAAAATAATTCATAATAAAAGTAAAGACACAAATGTTTTAACTTATAAGAAAAACGTGAAACGAAATCCACATGATGATTAAAATGTGTAAGTTAAATATATAATAGATTCATGTGCTATCTTATTAAATATAATTATGCTACCTAAAAATGACAAACATTTTGAATTAACGATGAATATTATTACTATATAAGTATAATTAAACAAAATTAATATATAGAAATAATACGTAACAATTATTTAATTATTATAATTTTCGTTATTCTATTTACTGAAATAAATTTAAATTAATTAATATATTATGTTCTTAATATACCTTAATTTAATTTAATATTTTTAATTAAATGCCCAAAAGTGTCATTTTATAATTTATTAAATATATTTTATTTAATTTCTTAAAAAACATTTTTATTAATATAAAATGGTTTAATAATAATTAAAATCTTTTTAATATTTTCTTAAATTAATTAATATATAAAATTATTATTTTACACAATATATAATATAGTTAGTTAATGTTTTATTTGGAATATATTAAATTAAAATAATTAAATATTTAAAATATATATAAAAATGCTTATGATATTAAATATTATTTATTAATATTTTATTTAATATAATAATTATTTATAAAATTATTATTTAATATATAAATACATTAACATTTATATAATATATAATAATTATTATATATAGCATTTATTTTAATTGTATTAATTTAATTTATTATTATATATAATAGTATTTATTTTAATATACTATTAATTAATTCATTATTTATTTAATTTATTAATTATATTAAATTTATTTTAATGTATATAAAATATATTAATTATTTTATTATTTAAATAACTTATTAAACATTATTATAAATCCATTACAAATAAATATGTTTAATTTAATATAATTAAACAATATTAAATATTTGTAATATAAAGCGAAAAAAATATTTTTTAGTTTAAATAACATAACAATATTTTTTTACATTAAATATGTGTTTTATATTAATATTTTAATATATTTAATTTAGTACTTATTTTAATTATTTAATTTATTATTATACATATATAAATTAATTATTATATATATATATTTTTAGACATTTAATATTTTGTTTATAAATATAATTTATAATTTATGTATATAAATATAATATTTAAATTATTAAATTAGTTATAAATAAATTAAAATTATTCGTTTTAATATAGACATTGTGTTAATAAATTTAATTTTTATTATAAATATTAAATTATAAAATAAAAATTAATATTAATATATTTATTTAATTAAATAAAATATATTTTAATTATTATTAAATAATAATTTATTATATTACTTTCATAAGATGGAAATATTATAATAATTATATTATTAATATAATAAATATTATAAATAATATATATGTGTATGCTCATTATTTAGATAAATATATATTTATTCAATATATATTTTATTTAATATATAATTCAATTTATTCACATATAATATTTATATTTATTAATTGATTTATTTTATTATTTAATTTTATATTAACATTAATTTAATTAATTAATATATATAATTGTAATTTTATTTTAATTTACACATTTTTAAAATAAGTTAATTAATTTGTTATGTGTTATTTATAATTAATTTATTTAGCTATAAATATATATTTATATTATTTTATAATATGTACATTATTCTTTATAATTAATAATATTATTTTAATTATATTCAATTTAATAAGTTAAATTATCTATTATATATATATTATTGTTTAAATAATATAATTTAATATATTTTTAATTAAATATTATTATTTGACGTATTATATTTTATTAAATTATAAAATTATGGTAATATTAATAATATTATATATACTAATATTTATTATTGTTTATATTTATTAATTAATTTTAATATATATTATTAAAGTTGTTTTTTAATATATTAATAATTATTATCATTTAATAATTAATAAAATACATAATAAATTTAATATGTGTTTATAAATTTTATTGTTTAA